TAATTTTAGGGCCTGCTCATTTTCTGACGAATCTGCGTCAGATAATGAGCAGGCCCTAAAATGAGCAGGCCCCAAGACAAATTAGGGCCTGCTCATTTTCTGACGAATCTGCGTCAGATAATGAGCAGGCCCTAAAATTAGCAGGCCCTAAGACAAATTAGGGCCTGCTAATTTTCTGACGAATCTGCGTCAGATAATGAGCAGGCCCTAAAATGAGCGGACCCTAAGACGGGCCTTCTGTCTGTGTCTCCCTACCCTTGTTGTCTCATTGGAAAAGAAACCTGCAGATACTCCTCATAAAAGCCTCAAAGGTGTCCTTTGCCTCCATCACAAACACTTTGCTTCCTAGCTAATTACATTCAATAACATACCCATCTATTTCATCCTTTGCCCATGTCTCCTTGTATCCTGTCTAGACTGAGTTCAGGAGCATGGCTACCATACACAGCAAATCATCTCAAGGAGAGCCCACAGACATGGAAAGGCACGACCAGTGAAACTAATCACCATATCCATTAATGAAATGGTGAGGGCCAAAGTGGCTGTGTGTGTGTCCTCTCTTTCTACTGTCCTTCAGCTTGTCTTTCTTTTTTACTTTTGTCCTTTCATCTCTGATAATTGATTCACCTCTGAAAACCTTTTTACAGCTGCTAATTAAACCTGAGTGTGTGTGTGTGTGTGTGTGTGTGTGTGTGTGTGTGTGTGTGTGTGTGTGTGTTGAGCTGTCACAAAACAGTAATAGATGGCCCCTGTTTATACAAAGCAGTGTGGATAAGAGATGGGGTACTGGGTATGTATGGGGGGATGGGGCACTGCATTTACAGTAGGCTAGTCTATATGAGGAGGGGAGGGTGTATATAGGAGGAGGGGTGTGCCCAGCCAGGGGGCTTCTGGGGGATTCAGTTGTTTATCAAGCGCCCCTCAGACAGAAAAGGGGGGAAGGTGGGGGAGTATGGGGAAAGTGGGTTACAGACATCAAAAACACGTGCATATGACCTCCCCAGCCCCCTGACCACGACAGCACCATCTTTCTATGATTTCTGATTGCAGCTGAACACACATGAGGAGAGGCGACACACAAGACTGAGGAAGGACAAATTAGGGCCTGCTCATTTTCTGACGAATCTGCGTCAGATAATGAGCAGGCCCCCGAACCGTTTGCTTGAATAAACTCACTGCCTTCTACTCCCTCCCAGCCTTTAAGACCCTGTATTCCGCTGAATGAGCGAGAGAGTGCAAAGAGAGGGAGAGAGTATGTTATGTGCTTGGCTGTGTGATTGCCAGTGTTTGCATCATCCTCAACAAAGAGAGTAAGAGAAGAGGAGAGCGCTTTCTTTTCCCCTCATGGGCAACATAATGGAAGGGGGGGTCCTCATATGCAAATTAGGGGGGGGGGGGTAATCTTTAATATAGCCTACTTTAATATGCCAATTGTTATTTTAAGTGGCACAGCCTATTCGGGTTTACATAGACAAACAGACTACAGGCAAGCACAGTAGGCCTACTTGTTTTCCAATATGCAAATTTCCTGGCTGATCCTCAAAAAAAACCTGGGGAGACAAAGGCAACCAGTGGCCAATGGTAGCCCACATCAAAGCCCTGCGCTGGCAGAATCATAATGAGGCTGAAGCCCATTTATCAACCACATGATTTCATATGCAAGTAGCTGCTGTGCTCTCTCATAGGCCGGGCAATTTTCCTCTCTGTCCCTATCGCAGGCTTGCGCGCCCAACAGCGGTGAGATCACCACCACCAGCAGCAAACAAAGCAAGAGGTTCAGAAAAAGCCACATAGCGCACAACTATCCAGCACATGTTAGGTATCAAGACTGGCAGCTCTATCTCTTTCTGTCTCTCTCTTACACACACAAAAAGTAAATATTGTCACTAGAGGTTGGCTAGAAAACAAGCCCTGCTGTGCACATAGCTGAGTTCAACAGCTGGCAGTGCCGCATGAGCTCATTAACAAAGCCTCGCATTGCAAACAAGGCTGATCACTTTCTCTGAGTAAGCTAAGAGACTGATTCGATTGCCACGTAGTAAAGTCATAATTTATAAACTGCCATGAATTGACTCAGGGTTGTTCTTGGTTCACATGCATGTAAGTGACAGCCGACACTGTCTGCTGGAATGAAATGTAAAACCAAATCAGACTCCATGTTGCATACCACCAGGTTTGTAAATGCTAAAATACAGTCAGAACAAACTCAGCTAGTTTTTTAAAGAAAGAAAATGACTAAAGTGTATTTTTTCCTCAAAAGTTGTTTTTGTTTTGTTTACAAATCACGTTAATTATGATCAAAATAGCAGCATATGCATTTAAATTAAACCAGGAAATACAAAACATAGCCTATTGCACACAATTTTACCAAATCCTGTTGCCATTTGTATTGTCATAATGTGCATTGTGTATTTCCACTTTGTGACTCCCCGCAGTCCGCTTACCTTTTCCCCAGTCAACGCGTGGAGACCTTCTCTAACTTTGGCGAACGATCCTTCTCCCAGCTTCCTCCCAATCAGATAGTTCCCGACCCGTTTGGTGTGGTAAAAGTTCTTAAGGATGTCCGCTGCAGGACTGCATAGAGATGCCGGGAGGACGCTCTCATTCCCGGTGCTGTTTGGGGTTTTACCCTCATATAACCCGTGGCTGTTGTCCACTACCATGTCGCTGTCCGCAACTGGCATAACAGCCCCCTTGTCAAACGTCTCCTTTTAACAAGGGAGAAAACTACGCAGCTCGTCCCTCGCCCAGCTTAAAGCCAGGTATTAAATGCTTAACGTCCGGTAAAGTGCGTTAACTCCGCTCTGCCTGCGTCTCGCCCCTAATAGCAAATTAAGGGAACCGGAGCCTGTGCCACCTGTTCACCCAAAGCATCCAGTGAGCGCACTCAGCAGGTTCCGAGACAAGTCTTGATGAGTGTATCAGCTTAGATTTAAATGACACAGAAAAAACAATGACACACTCAGTCATGGAAAGTTATTAACTGACGCACCTGTCTGAATACTTAAAAAAGCTAAGGCTCAGTGAGAGGTAGGCTATTACTCCGCATCCTTTCTCCGGGCATGAGCTTCTCCTGAATAGTCTGTGCGCAGGAAGCGTGTTTTTCAGTTTGAAATGACTTTACCGGTCCTCTGGGTGGGCGTTTCTTAGTGAGAGGATGGGGGGAAAAAACACACACACCCATACACATCCCCTCACACTGTGGTGGTAGCCAGGGTGATTTTAAATCCAATCAGCGCAGGCGGGCGGAGCACATGGGAGAACAAGGGGGACAACTGCACCCGGTACCGCTGCCCCGCCGTTTCACGTGGTGCGCTCAGATTGTACACGTCTATGAACAAAGAATTGCTTATAGGCTATATGTAGCCAGAACAGAGGTGAGCAACACCGTCACTACAAACGCTGAGATCTGTTTTAAATTCCCGTGGCGAAATTTCTGGGTGTCTATGCATTGTTCCTTTAGGTATTATTAGATTTGGCATTAAGTGTAAAGGGTCCGCATGTTCACACCATGCGCTGTGCATGCAGACCCACAATCCCTTACCTGGCATAGGGACGGCAATAAATCATACACGCATGCTTACAGTGAGAGTTGGTCAGTTTCATATAACATCATCTAGTCGAGCTACCCCCCCCCCAAATGTATTGGTTGTTGCTGAACTTGGAGTTCAGCCAGCAATACAAAGTTAACACTAGGCTACTCCAGTAGCCTACAGCAGCGGCAAGACAAAGAAGCATTCCTCCTCCTCGGTCACTGAGGTGTTCACTGGCCTAATTAACATTGTGTTCATCACTCAAAGGAGGACACCAGCAGGGAGGGGCAACTGTTTGAGACATATTTCTACTCTTGTTTTTGACGTCGGCTTGTGCTAATCTGGCATTATCATATAGCCTACGTTTTACTACAAAGTGAACCTGCAGGGGCTGAACAAAATAACAGAAACACCTGACAATATGATGAAATCCACTACAATAGCCCGGCAATAAATACAACCAATGTGAAGCTTTGAAAGAAGTGTTGATGTATTATGTGGCGGGAATTTGATGTATTGATGTATTATGTGGCGGGAATTTGTGGTGTCGCTGTATCAGATTTAAAAATATATACAGGTGTCCTCTCTTTTGTTCACTCCTTGTATGGATCCCTAGAAGGAGGAGAATAGATGTAGGCTACAGTTTGGCATGCCTGCTGGACCATGCTTTCTAGACACCAGACCAGACACCCAGACATGGAACCAAAAGTATAAGTAGACCACCATCTATTGGAGTTATTTTGTACTACAAGAATACACTCAGTCCCAAAATTTAAGACTTGAGTGAGCCTGCAGCCTTGCTGAATTTGAACTGATTTTCCATTGTCCTGTTACCAGGCATTTATTGATCTTGAGAGGGATTAATTTGATGATTTGGAGACAATGATTCTCAGTTTAAAGTAGCCTACTTTTAAAAGTGTGTGTATTTAATATTTGAGAAGTATCATACTACAATAAAAGTGTTTATTTCACTTAACTTTGTGACTTGTAATATTTTAATATTTTAAAGGTATGCCTATATTTTGCTCTATATTCATCCCAGAATATGAGGGGAGGGCAACAATAGTGTAATAGAAAAAATACAATTTCAATGTGGGCCTACCTCCAGCATTTTAATAGTGGTGTCTGGAAGAAAGCTAAATATAAAATTGGATGTGTAGCTGTGTGTGTATTAGGTACAGTCTGTAGGTATGATACCTGATAGTATCAGGTAGCCTACAGACTGTCCCGGGCTGATAGGCCCTTGAAGACAGCTGGGGTAGGTATTTAAACAAGGTAAGAGAATGGGTCAGGACCAAAGATCATTTTTGTCCGGGTGTCTGTCATATCTAAAAAGGACACTGTGGACACCCCTGCCCTGGCCACATATATTCAAACCATAGACTGCAGGTTCAAATCCTTTAGCACTCCGCCACCTAGCGGACAAAACCTAGAACAACAAAATTGAATCCCATCATGCTTTGCCGTGCCCGCCGACCCGAGAGCCACCGATGCTACGCTAACTGTCGTTAGCTACCGGGAGCGGACATGTTGTACCGACCCTTCCTTGAATAAACATCGCTGTTAGCGGGGAATCGGGAGCTAAGGGGGACGCTAGGAGCGCTGGGCAATCATGGACGCCGTCAACGCCTTTAACCACGAGGTAAGCTGCCTTCAAGGCTCACTGAGACCCTGAAGTCACCGAGTCTGGCGATACTGATCATGGTGCTGTGATGCACTGAAGCTAAGTTGAGCAGAACCCACCAGTGGGCCTAGCTAGCTGGACTTGTCCATCTTACCTGGTTTAGTGCTAACTGTGTTAACGTTTGGGTTGTAACGTTAGCAACACTTGCAGCGCAAGTAGCGAAATGTTATTACTGAAACAAATGATAGGGGATTCTGCTAACTAGCAAGCTAACGCAACTATAGCCAGTCCACATTGCTTAAGTTACAGTAAGTCAACCCTGCACAAAGTTCGTATGGTAACGTTAGTGTTAGCTCGTGGGAGCATGGTCACCTACATTGGAGTTAGTAACAATGCTACTGGCAACCACACAGCGAGCAAACATCCTATCCTATTGTTATTGTCACGCTGGATGCTTACAAATTTTTTTTAATAAAAGCTTCAGTGCTATGCACAGCGTGAGTTTGTTTAGAAGATGCCAGGCCAAGTCACTGTAGGGCTCGAGTAACGTTACTGATGGCGGGTGATAGAAGTCCAGTCAAAACATAGGTCAACTCTGTAATATTGGTGTTTTTGGTTCCTCTCGTTTCTGCTGATGCCCCTTTTTAACCTTTGAAGGTAAAAGTTGCAGTGGTTGGAACCGCCATAACTCTTAAGTGAGTGGTAAATACAACCTTGTAATTGCATCATAACTAGCTAACGTTAACTTAGTTCTGCAGGATACTTGTTTATTGCACCAAATCATGATAACCGCAAAGCCAGAAGCAGTTTCTGATGGTTCTTGAAAATGTCACGCACTTTCAATAGTAGTTTCTGTCTGGCGCAGAAATAGAGAAAGTAGTTTGTGGATTCAAATCACTGCTAGTGGATACATCAACATAACGTGAATAGACACCTATTGAAAATACTCAATTATATCAATATTTTAGCTCAGGAATAAGAAAAGGCAGTAGCCTAGTGCATCGTACAGCCCTTAAAATGCTTTTGCTTCCTCAAAAGCAGAGTGCATAGTTTATTTCTAATATCTTTGCACTGTACTGTGACCAGGCTGTATCTTATCACTGATCTGTTATCTACGTTGTCTCTAGTTGTTCTCACTGATGGACTCCAAGCCCCCAATTTCCCGGGCAAAGATGATATCCATCACCAAATCAGCCATCAAAGCTATGAAAGTAAGGAGGAGTTCGGCAAGCCTTTGTTTTGATATTTACTTGTGTATCTATATGAGTAGTATTCTCTGTATTTCTAAAATTATTTCTCTTTTTTTGGGCCTATATCTACTCGATAACATGCTCACCTGCTTCTCTCTCTTTCTCTTTCAGCTTTATAAACATGTGGTCCAGATTGTGGAAAAGTTTATCAAAAAGGTGGGACAAACCTGTCTAAATTCCATCATCACAGGTTCTCCTCACCAAACATGAATAAACTCAAATCTGTTTTCTCCTTCTTCCCTCTCCAGTGTAAGCCCGAGTACAAGGTAGCAGGCCTGTATGTGGTGGATTCTATCGTTAGGCAATCCAGACACCAGTTTGGATCAGACAAGGATGTGTTTGGCCCAAGGTTCACCAAAAACATTACAGGCACTTTTGAGAACCTCTGCCTTTGCCCAGTAGAGGACAGGGTAAGACCAGAAAGAGTTGGTGAAGATTTCACTGTGAATATGAATATTGGGGACTCTCTTGTAGTCACAAATAGTACCAAATTGTTGTTGAAGGATTTCCCCCCCTGCAAAGGCCCTCACCTAAATCAGTCTCCCGTTATTCCTTCTCCTTCACCTGTTTCCTTGCTGTCTTATTTTCCTTTGTAGAGTAAGATTGTGCGAGTGTTGAACCTGTGGCAGAAGAATGGGGTGTTCAAGATTGAGGTTATTCAGCCCCTCCTGGACATGGCCGCTGGCTCTAGCAGCTCTGCTGCACCGTACACAGGAACAGATGAGCCAGGTAATTTGTGTTTGTACACGAGGTCCATGATATTATTTTTAAATACAATTCTACAGACACAACAGATGACATTTTTAAAACTAGTTAAAAAGAAAGAAAGAACATTTTGCTTTTTTCATTTATTTCATAAAACTATTTTATATTGATATGCTGAAGTATCAGTGTGTGCTGCTGGTGTTGGAAGGTATGTGTGCTGCTTTCCACATGTTCAGGCTGTGTGTCTCATCCCTCAGGTTCTTCCCCGCCTCCAGCCAAAGAGCCAGTTACTGCGGTAACGGCAAACTCCACCACGACATCTGCTGAGCAGCTGCAAAACTCTGATGCCTTTGCTGCTGTGGCACAGCTCTTCCAGTCCTCCCAGGGTCAGCAGGTGTGTGTACTAGTGTGGGCAGGCAGTCATTGACCACAGTCATTTTGCTTGCACATTAGACCCTCATTAATAACTCCTCTTTCACTCTTTGTCACTGGCATTTTTAGCTTCAACAGATGCTCCAGAATTTTCAGCAGCAGCCAGTGAAGCCGGACACCGACCCTCAGCCTCTTGTACATACCATTCAAACACAGGCCCAAAATGTTAGCACTGGCCTGGGCATGGTCGCCCCGCAACCTCCCCTGCCCACCCAAACCAACCAGCAGAAGACAGCCTTTGACAAAGTGACTGTGAGTGTTTGTATTTCCATATGGTGTCAACAGCTAAATGTACTCTGAGCAACATGGCAGATGTCACGCACTGTTTAGACACTTTGTAGCATAGTGTGCTTAAACTATAAGTAATTTAAGGACTGTACAAGCTAGGGATAAAACGATTACCGGTTTAACAGTAAACCATGGTAAAATTCCCGACGGTTATTATTACCGTACACATTTTGAATACCATGACAACCGGGTACAGTTAACCGCGCTATTATAATCTCACGGCAAACACTGTCCAGGGTCTCCCAGAAGCAGGCGCATTCTGCGTATGCGGGTTTGTTTGGGTCAATGACAACACGGCGGAAGACAACGCTGCAAGATTTTTCAGTCACTCTGAAGTCTGGTCTATTTTAGTTTTTTATGAGAGTGCTGAGGGAAACTTGATTGAAGAAAATAACCTTATAGTAGACGCAGGGTGAGTTAACTTTTAGCTTTGGTTTGTCTGTCTGAATTGCTCTCAGTGTTGCTGCTCTTGTAAAAACGCAACACGTTGTTCTTTTGCTGTGTGCATCGTGTGTCGGCAGAGTCTATTCGTCCACTGCACATGATAACACGTTATGCAGTTTAGTCAACCAACCAGCATATCTAGAAACGCTACAGACTCCTCTGTATTTATATCAGTTTTTGGGCTCATTACAGTTACTATCACTGTCTTCTAAAGACTTATTTGTTTTCATGTAATTGTCCACGGGGTCATCGTATTACCTATAAAATATAAAATCTTGATAATGCACACTTAGATAATTTTCATACGTTTACAAAAGGTATTTGCTGTTGTTTTATTGTTTATGCAAACAAAATGGCAATTGTCTTTGTAGTTTTCAATCTAAAACTTGTTGAAATGGTTTCAGTGTGTGTATCAGTACATTTTAATCTTTTTCGGCACATTTTTACAATACCGTGATAATACTGATAACAGTGATCATTTTGGTCACTATAATTGTGATATGAAATTTTCATACCATTTCATCCCTAGTACAAGCTCTTCCATGTTAAACAACATCATCATTTGTGCATTTTTTACATTCATTATTTGTCTCTCTCTTAGAAATTGCTGGACCGTTTTGACTATGACGATGAACCAGAAATTGGAGATGAAACAAAGAAGGATGAAATGTCATCCCAGCCCTCCTTGTAAGCCCTTGATTTATTATATTTATGCTGTTGCATCTCTGCAATGCCACAAAGTTGGAAGCTCTCAGAGATTTTTTTTCAAATTAAATGAATGAAAATTAAATTGAAAGATGTAAAACTTGATTGTTTTTCTTTATCATCACAGTATGCAGCACCCTCCTGCCTTCCTACAGCACATGGACCACTTTAACCCGCAGATGATTAACATGTCACAAGACCACTCACAACAGGTAACAAGAACAAACTTTTTAAAAATAACTTATCTTGTGTAACAAGTATCTAAAAGCGTTTCAATCCCCGGCTCCCCCTGGTTGCATGTCGAAGTGTTCGGCAAGATGCTGAACCCTGAATTGCTCCTGGCGGCTGTTCTGCCAGTGTATGGATGTGTGTGCATGTTAGTTTCTGTTTGAGCACTTAGGCTCAGTGTATGAATGTGTATGACTGGTGAATGCAGATGTAGTGTAAAAGCGCTTTGAGTGGTCGAAAAGACTAGAAAGGCGCTATACAAATACGGAGCATTTACAAGTATAGCCATCTAATTTTTTGATCATTTTTACTTTAAACTGTAAAATGCTTTCAGATTAAATTTTCCTATCACTACAACTGGTAGTAGCTTGTCTTACAACAATATGGTTACATGATACTATATACGCTACAGTATATGCTTCTCATTTATGGAAGGCAAGGCTTTTATAAAAAGAAGTAATACTTAAATCTGAAAATGAAATGTAGATAGGTACATTTTTTTCTGCCAAATTAAGTTTAAATTTGGGAAACCCTGTTGTATGTGCACAATATATATTCCAGTTATCTCTCTCAGGTTCCTCTCCCTCCTAATGGCCAGCTCCAGGCCTATGGTTTACCGCCAGGGCAAAGCTTCCCAGTTATGATGCCACCTATGGGGCATGCTTTGCCAGGGCAGCCCCTCCCTGGTTCCACTGGGCCTCCAGGCTTCCCGGCAATGTACCCTCCCCACAGTGCAGCCCAGCAACCCCAGGTAGACTTAACAATAGTTCAGAGGATATGCAAAGTCTAACAAGCTATTTTGGGGGGTAGATTAGGCTGGTAAAGCAATTTTTCAGTATCTTTTCATATGTGCATGAAATTTGAAATTTGCTTAAACAGCTTAATATGGCAACAAATTAGTTTTTTGCTTAGCATAGGTGGAAGATTAAGAAGCATGTATGTTGGATGATAATTTAAATGCATGAAATTATAACCATGACTTTTCTATACCATATCAGGATTTGTCAATGGATATGGACCGTTCATCTCTGAGGGATGGCAGACATGGTCAACGGTCACACTCAGGCTCCAGGTAGGCATCTGAAATGAGACGTGATGTGTCAAACCTAAGCTTAAGTCTCAGTGCTGTAATTTGTTAATTTCCATTTATTTAGTTGTGTGCAGAGCTTATTTATGGTGAACATTTCATGAGTTACAATATCTGTCCTTTTTTTTTTTTTTCTCTCCAGGTCTCCAAAGCGGAGGAGGTCACGGTCTAATTCTCGTACACGACGATCCAGGCACAGGCGGTCCCGCTCGCGCTCCAGAGACCGCCGTCATCATTCACCACGCTCCCGTTCACAGGAGCGCAGGGAGAGAGAGAAAGACAGAGACCGACGGCAGAAAGGCCTTCCGCCACCCAAGAACGAGACACTAAGCAGTTAGTCATCTATTTATAGTCCTATTTATTTAAGGAGATTCTCCTTAATTTTCAGATTTCAGATTCTGGTTAGGTGTGTGCCATGTGTTTTTTTTCATATATAATAATAATTTACTGAGTTTTTCAAATCATTTTCCTCTTTGATTTCAGCTATGGCATGTATTTTTGCCTTTCTAAGTTCTTGTTCACTTTGTATTTGTCTTTCAGTTTGCAGTACAACTCTGTGGGTAGGCCAATTGGACAAGAGAACACAGCAGCAAGATGTGGCCTGTTTGCTCGAGGAGTTTGGGCAGATAGAGTCCATCAATGTAAGTGTATAGATAAGTTACATTGATCCAACAGTGGCTATATCTGTGCTTGTAACAAAATACATTTGCAAGATGGAAAATACTGTTTTTTTGTTGTCTTTCGGTCAACTTATAGTAAATTTGTCATGATATATTTTGTGTTTTTACATAAACAGCACCTAGTCTCTGCTTTGTTGTTAATATTTAATACTTATGTTTAAGTTATTAAGACACTGATTGCATATAGAAAAGTATCTGTATCTGGGTTTTCTTTTACAAACTGTTTAAAAGGACCATAGAGCAATCAGGAGATTGAGTCCAGATTCAGCTAACTGAATAGAAATCACAATCTTCTTGTTTTTTCCCTCACCTGTCTGTTTGTCCTCCCCTTTTGTTAAGATGATTCCTCCACGTGGCTGTGCCTATATTGTCATGATACATCGGCAAGATGCCTTCAGGGCTCTACAAAAGCTCAGTAGAGGAACTCACAAAGTTAACCAAAAAGCCATCAAGGTGAGTGAGCAACACAGATTCCTGCTTTGTAAAGCACTGCTAATAAAAAACCTAGCAAATTAAAGAGAAAACTGAACATCTGACTGAATAAAGACTTGTTTGTTATTAATTTCTTGATAGATTGCTTGGGCTTTGAACAAGGGTATAAAGGCTGAGTTTAAACAGTACTGGGATGTGGAGCTGGGTGTCACCTACATACCATGGTCTAAAATCCGAGAGGTTCAGGTGGAGGAGTTAAAAGAAGGAGGGATACTGGATGTAGACACCTTATCACCAGGTAAAAGATAGACTCATTAGGAAATAATACATTTTTTCATTTTCAAATGTGCTTTTCAAATGTGCTTTTATTGAAATGTGCAGAAACAGTTTATATTATTGATGTTATTACAGTGTGTTGAGCAGTCTGCTTTTTAATGCGTCTTTTCCAGAGTGGAGTGGAGTGAGGAAAGCCCTTGACCTTCCAGATGAACTCACCCACAACGGTCGTTCAGAGCCACAGCAGCCTGAGGAGACACAAGTAGTACCTGTGGCTGCTACAGCTGCTCCTCCTGTACAGGTAAACAAGGTCAATGTTACCTTCATTTTAAACTCTTATGTAGGGATGTGTTGATTTGTCATTGTTGGTAAAGAAATATAATTCTGAAACTTGCTTTGATTAAGAGGATGTGCCTGCTGTTCTTTCGGGTGTCTGTGTAAATGCTCACTTGAATGGAGGCAACATGGAGACAAGATGATTGTTTCTCCAGAGTGTCACTGGAAAGTTTTAACAAATAACTTTCTCATTTGACATTTCCAGTAAATCCCTGTAAATGTTCTCAGGTTCCTCCGATGCAGCAGCCGATGGTTGGTGTGGGTTCTCTCCAGCCTCCCGTCTTTCCAGGTCCCATAGGCATGCCTCCACCTTCCTTCCCCCCAGGCGTCCCCCCTCCTCCTTTCATCAGACCTGGCTTCAACCCTATGCAGATGCCTCCAGGTAGCACCTCCTACAGCTGCCATCAAACCATTTCTCACTGGCTTTCATTCAGTTTTTCTCTCTCTTACACAGCGCCCGTTCTCAAACGGTGGTCGATTTCACACCTGGAATTTAATTTATTTGGTCAAAATGATATACTGTTGCTGTTACGTTTGTTCACACAGGCTTATGACAAACAAACAAAGTGTATTAAACATTACTTTTACTAATTGAAATATACAGGATGGGTCTATATAGAGTTGTGTAATTATTTATTAACCATACTATTTCATTTTCATTATTTTTATTGTACAACTAGGATTAGTTTTAAGTATTTAATTTGCCCAACTTTACAGCAGAAATAAACAAATTTACAGCCTGGGAAAAAAACAGTTTTGGCTAATTTCCTTGTACATTACAACTGGGTGAATTTTTATATCACTCACCCGTTTAAATTATATTAAGGCTTAATGTTATGCATAATTAAGGGCATGGTCACTTTGAGTGACAGGTGGGTGTCGAATTAGCCAGAGTCGGGCACTGCCAAGATAGCAACGACCAGTTTTGGCGCACGGGCCACTTATTGCTGTTCAATGGTCTAGAGTAATGACGAAAAAGTTTAAAATAGAGGCGTTTTAACTCATTCTCCGATCGATCATAGAAAATTCCATTGCTCATGTACTGGCCCGAGTATGTGTTACTATGGTTACCAAATGATCTTGCCTAAATCTATATAAAGCTTGTACAGATTTGCTTATAAGATTGCTTCCTTGACTGTTAACTCTCAGTAGATTGATTTTAATAGTTTAACTTTTAGTATGTAAAAATCCTATATCTAGTATCCTGCAGGCTTCTGGTTGGTCTAGTTTGTTGTAGCACCTCAATATGCCGCAGCAGTCCATCTTTTCACAGGGTATCATCCAGTTGTTAAAGCCACATCAGAGTTCTATTGACAGTTTCCACACCAGCCCAAACAAACCAAACCAAAACAGGCAAATGTTGGCATGAAAGCACCCTAACTCCTTTCACCCTTCTTCTCCCAGGTTTTCTCCCTCCGGGTGCCATGCCTCTAGGTCCCCCACCTCCTTCTAAAGGTGGAGTTGAAGCCTCGCCTCTGGACCCAGCAAGTCTGGGAAACAGGAAAAATGAGGAGGTCCTGGATCCCAACATATTCAACAACCAGATGGGGCCTATGGGTCAGTCTGTCTTTCTCTTTGGACTTTTCACCAAATTGATTTTTTGTTTCTTATCTTGCCCTATCCAATGTAACATGACTGTTGAGTTTGGCCCTTAAACTGATCTCATCTCTCAAAATATGCATTGGATCAATCATTAGTTTCTGGGTGAGATTGTATTATTATATATCACTTGATTGTTTTATGGGAAGAAATTTAAAACAAGTTTGACTGATGAATTTGTATTTATCTAGTAAAGAAAAAATACATTACCAAGTATTTGTATGTGCTTTTTAAATAGTGGAATTTGTTGTCTGTATTGTAATTTGAATATTTTGGTGCTTTTGGACAGCAAAAGTTAAGTTAAGTAAATTTCAATTTGTTTTGGTACTTGTTTCCCCATCAGGTAACCAGGTAGGTGGACCTCCAGGTTCTCTCCCAGGTGGTCCTCCAGGAAGCATCCAACCCCCTTCTGGTGGTCTGCTTGGCGCACGGCCCGGTATAATCCCACTCCAACGTCCTCCGGTTCCCCCACCACCACACATGCAGCGTTTCCCTACGCCCCACGGGCCACGACCCCCTCACCCCAATATGCCACCTATGCCCCCACAGATGATGCCCAGAGGGCCACACCCTCAAATGATGCACCATGACCCCCCTCCACCTAAAGGAGGCTTTGGCATGCTTTCTCCTCACAATATGAGGGCTCCTTTCCCTCCACATGGGCACGGCCCTCCTCCTCAAGGTCTTCCTCCTCCTCCTCCTTTTATTAGACCTGGGGGTCCACGTGGCCTGGAGGGGCCAGAAGAAATGGATGGCAGACCATTCAGGGGAGACAGGCCTGGATTCAGGGACCGAGAGCCAGAGAGGGACAGAGACTGGGATCGAGACAGGGATCGAGAGAGGGACCGAGGTTTTGGAGGTGGAAGGCGTCCATTTGGTGATGGAGGGAGGGGCGGAGGTGGTGATAGAATGGATGGGAGGGACAGACTCGGAGGCTGGCAGGAAGACGGAAGCGATCACCGGGGAGGAGGATGGGAGAGAGACAGAGACCGGGACAGGGACCGCGATCGGGACCGAGACAGACGGGACTGGAGGGAGAGGCGAAGCAGCCAGGATAGCGACAGGGAACGGGGGAGGGGGGATGATGGAGAGAGGGAACGAGGGAGGGGGGAGGGAGGAGAAAGAGGGAGGGGGGAGGGAGGGAGTCGAGAAAGGGGGAGAGGCACCGAAGGAAAAGAGGGGGACAGGCCAAAGCGGTCAGAACGGCGAGAGAGGACCACACGGTGGGACAGGGATGATCGATTGGCTGAACTGGAAAACATGGACAGACTTCAGACCTCGAACAGCACTGAGCCACCTCGTTTGACTCCTTTGGTTACCATGGAAACCAGTAAAGAACCCAGTGTGGAAGCTTCTCAAAAGAAGGCAGACTCTGAACCTTTAGCTCCGCCCCCAGAGGCAACTACTGTTGCAGAAGAGTCGAAGCCCTCTGAGCCCTTACCTCCAGCTCAAAGTGAGCCCACAGAAACAAAACAGGAAGCAGCATCATAGACTGGCTCAGTGCTCCTCCAGACAGAGTTAGACATTGTGTTTGTCTCTATGATAACCAGCCTCAACTCCTGGCAGGTGACTTCTAACCAGTTTCACATTTTCCTGGTTCTTAACACGTTTCTTGAAAACAAACTCAAAAATCTCCTACACACTTTGTCAAACATATGAAAATGGTTGTTTTCAGACTATATGGCTCACAGTCAAATTTGGCGTTGTGTCCGTGTCTCAAAACACACGACTACTTGAAAATCAGTTATGAAAAATGGCAGCAGTGAACTGTCAACTCTAGTTCTCCCTCCTTCCCGTAAGTTTTAACTTGCTTGCATGTTGACGTAGCTCTCTCCATCTGAGGTTAATTTGAGCTTAGCTTTTGTATTTTTAGTCAAGTTGATTTGCAGATGGAAGAAAACAAATTATTTCTATGACACACATATTTTTACTTTGTGGCCTCGTCCGTGTGATTGCAGGCACTCCTCAACAAGGTAAATATGCTCATTATAAAAAAAAAAATAATAATAATTCACCAAAATGTCATGTCAAACACTGAATATCCTCTCAAACAATAATTATAGAGGTGGCATACGTTTTTCTTTGTTGTTTTCATCTCATCTTGTGTTTCGGCTCCTTGTTGCAATATCACAGCCAGTGAGGTACAGCTTTGAAAGAACTATGGTGGCCTTAAAATCCAGTCAGGTTACTTGTAGGTGTTTGAATGGAAAATGGCGTTGAGATCTACTTTTGATTATGTCTTCACTTTCACCCTTTGAATCATACTTTATTTCAGTCAGAATAAAAATCAGTATCGTCTTCATTTTATCAGACACTGATTAATCAGTTATGCGTGCACATTCACTGGCCTAAATCCAATGTCCTGAACATAACACACTCAAAAAATGGTTTTATTTAAAAAAATATATATTTCACTAGTACTGAGGCTCTAACAAAACATAGGGCAGAGTAGAAGCTGGACCATTGTATCTAATTTTCCTTTCTTTTTTTTAACCATTGTAGGGGCTCAAAACCAGGGACTTCACAATGTCATAATCAAATTTCTTTTGCTTAACAGACTGTAACTGATGGGCCAAGAGGCATTTTAGTCAACACATTTCAACATAACAAGCACAACAGTTAGGAACGAGAGAAAAGGTACATCCTAGTGTATCGTGGTATATCTCCCTTGGAATATTAAGGAAGTAAAGAAATTTGATGATGATATATAGGTGGGCTTTGTTTCAGAAGTTTGAGTGATTTCAAATGGATTTTCATCTTTGTAATTCTGTCAGTTTTTCAAAACTATAATCTACATCATACAAGTTAAGTGGAGGTCAAATTCCGTTGGTTTTTGTTTTTTATTTCACACCCTTGCTTAAATGTGTACATTTCTTATTTTTCAGTTAGGTGAAGTGAAACTTCTTTTTTAGATACAACAGAGGAATATCCAACACAAGTTTTTAAAAGTGCAACACTTCAGGAGCATTGTTTATAAACACAAGTTAGCAGGCAGACTACATAAGATTTATATTTATGGTAGTCTTTTGTTTTTCCCGTGTGTATGGAAGGAAAGGGGTAATCCTTTGAATCAGACAAAAGCTTTTCCATTTGTCAAACTAAACTAAGTTTTGGCCACATGAAAATACAAAATGTAACCCTGTAGCTGATTTTTTTTTTTTTTCTTTGATAGACACAGCTTTCAACCATAGCTGTGACTGATATTAAATTAACATTTGAAGCCCAGATTCTGCAAGCCCAGGTCTTGTTCTTGTATGTTTTAACAGAGGCAAAACTAAAGCGATGAGTGTTGCTTGGGAGACAGCTGTAAATATGCTTGTATCACTGACGATTCAAAGGTGTAATTGTAATTGTTGTTTATGATCTGTGATTCGTTCATCCAAGAGAAACGGATTGACTTGGAAGGAACAAAGAGGCCCTTTGCTTTAACATTTTTTAACTCCTAATGGTTTGAAGGTTGACAGATGTTTCTATGATTTGTTAAAAATACAAAAAGACATGGACATAAAATCTTCAATATTTCAGCCATAGGAAATTGTTTTTAATAAACTATTTTTGTACCAAATCATTTTGCTTGTTCAAATTATATTCTCTGCTTACCCCATGCCCAACTGGGAGTCAGATGTTGGATTAAGATATTCTAAATTATCTTGCACACATTTGATGTAATTGTCTGTTTAAATGCCACAGGCTGGATATTTACCAAGATTTTGGAGTAATTTAAGTAATGCTTACAGGCTGACGCTTTACTATCGGCAGTGAAGAATAAAACAGCCAAGATTTTTTCATCATGTGTTAAGTCTAAGTATCGACAATAAAGGTCTAATGGGGCAGCAGCCTTTGCATCCCACTCAGTTCCATCCATCCATCCATCGTCAACCGCTTATCCTGCGTACAGGGTTGCGGGGCCCACTCAATTCTTCCCCCCTAAATTTTATTTTCATTTCATAACCATCATCACCATCAGTCATAATTTCTTTAAATTAGATTTGTATTAGTGCTGCACAGTATGTAGTTAAGTTATCCTGTCTGTACCTACTGGTCATAGCACTGAGACAAGGTGACCTAACCTATAAGAGGCCTATTGACAGCTTTTATTAGCAACATGGAAGAGCCTTCGATAGATCACTGGTTGTAAAGGAGTATCTAACAAGATAAAGATATTTAATTGGGTTCTTTATTTATTTGACTTATGGCACAACCACCAGCTATATATCTTGACAGTACAGGCAAGATGGTGCACATACTAGTAGCTATATTGATTAATTGTACTGATATTTAAAAAAAAAAGGTAACTAGCTGAAGAAGAGCAGCGTGAGGGTTGGATGATGCCTATTGCTTCACAGAGTAGGCCTGTCTTACTGACCAAAAAATAGATACGTGCAAACTGTAAAAAAATATTTATGATATGCAAGTTAAGACTGCAACCTACAGTAATTATTCGGCGTTAATGGCTATAATTATTGACAAGTTAGTACTCGACATTAAAAAATTAGAGACCAATGTAGACTGTACTTTTTGCAGGATTTAGTCAATAAAAACAATCCACAAAGATGAAGCTGCTGTAACTGGAATTAATATAGTGGCCTAGTGTTAAACTACATATGAAATTATAATATCGTACATATAAGTAATAAATTAAAATTATACTATAAACCCAATATTATGAAATGAACACAATACTTTTATTTAATGTTGGAACATTTTAATGCGGTAGAGGGGTGGGTGGGGGTTGTACCCTTAGTGGTTCCCCTATTTTCCATTCCCAATGTTGACATGTATGGACTATTAAATGTGTACAGAGATTTTTAATGTGGGTGTCCGTGCTTAATTTGCTGCACCCACCGTAATGGTCAGTGACCAATCAAAATGTGTCTTATATTTGACTGAGATTGGCTGTCTGTATTATAAGCCCGCCCACCAGGCACTACATAGGTAGTGAGGCTTGTCTGCACAGCCGGTGGCAAGAACAAGAACCACAGAAACTTAGGCGACATTAGGAACTACTGCGAAGATGGTGTTTAAAGCCGTTTGTGTTTTAAAAGGAGCTGGAGAGACCACCGGGACCGTTTATTTTGAGCAGGAGGTAAGGCGTGCTACGTTGCTTTCAGGCGACTAAATGTCTTAGTCATTTTAATGAAAGTACAAGGAGATTTGACATGCATCTTACAGGGACCGTTAACCCTAGAATGCTAAGCTAGCTCCGTTCTCCGTTCACAAGCCTGTAGTTCGGCTAGCCGATAGACCGACCGGTTTTCAGGAGTGTCCTAAACCGCTAATGTGAGCTAAGAACACATAAATGTCATATTTGAATAACAATGCATCGGATTTGGTCAGATTTAGCAAACCCGCGCTTATTAGCATAGGTTATCTAACAGTGTGCACATGTATACAATGCAAATTAACGTAAACGTTAGCCTGCACGTTGCAAAACATCAGATTGCGTTAACTTTAAGCGCTCATACAGTCAGGAGCTGCTAAGATAGTTGTGACATTGTGTTAAATGTGAACGCGTAATTACTTAGCTAATACAACGACCAAAAACATCGGCTTTGCCGGTAAACTCATAACCTTTGATCGTTTAAGGCCCATGATTAACGTTAGTAAATGATCAGCAGCAAGTTAATGGAAACGCCTGTTGCATACATTCAACGTTAGCTACGTCAGTTTTCAACGTTAACCATACCAGTCTATTGTGTTTAGCTGAACCACACACAAGTCAGGGAGCACTTCTGTTTGTGGACCTAGTTGCAGTTGCAAAAGCTGCGATGTTAATGGTAACGTTGGTTAGGCTTTAGAGCAAAGAGCAACTCTTGCCCACTAACTACATTTTTGCTGAGTCACTGCCTGCTCTCGTTCATGTTGCCTTTACCTCGAATATTTGGCCTTGCTGATAAGGGTGAAGCGGTGTCATCGAGGGTCAGAGTGAGTTATACAACATTTGACTAACGTTACCTAAAGACAACGGCAGGTGATTGCATATATAATTGAAGGTTCTGTACAATCCATGATTATCTGACCACGGGGATAAATATTTGTCCAGTGAATTGTTTATGGAGTTTATATATTTGGGTATCCTATCTTGATGTCACTGCATGCACATGTATTTTCTAGTGCTGCAATATATGAACTGAATATCATGAAACACCCTATAAAATCAGACACATTGCACTTTGTGTGTTTAGTTGAGCTTCAACTCTTTGTAGCTACCTGACTTTGACAGCTCTTTTGTATTCTCCTGATACACTGTTATCCTGATCTGTTAGGGCGATTCAGACCCTGTGAAGGTGACAGGAGAAATCAGAGGCCTTACCCCTGGTGAGCATGGTTTCCATGTCCATGCTTTTGGAGACAATACAAATGGTGAGCATCTGACAATAGTTGTTAATCCGTCAGGTTTTTGATATTGCACGGTTTGCGAATTAATGTTACTGCATTGTCTGGGTTTAGCTTACCTACACACAGACTGATTCAAGTGTTTCATGATAAAAAATTATTTAATTTTTATTTACTAATTTTATTTATCTTTCCAAGGGTGCATCAGTGCAGGGCCTCATTTCAATCCCCACAACAAGAATCATGCTGGTCCTAATGATGCAGAGAGGTGAGTCCAGTCTGAGGGATGAAATAGATATGAGCAGGCTGCACGATAACTGTAAATTGCAATCGCAATGTCGTCATGTGCGAATACCTAACCGCAAAACAGGTGCGATTTAATAAAACAGAAAAGGTGTGTGTGACACTCTCTTCTGTGTGTGCTGCAGTTTGCTCATTATGTCTGCCCACACCAGCTCTCGCATGTGCTCCTAAAAACAGATAAGCCTACGTACAATGAGAAATATGATTTATGAGCAGTATGCCAGTAACTTAAGACAACAACCTACCATAACCCCCCTTCCCTGCCCCATCAAAATCAGACTTGCCACCGGAGCATCGCTCTGTGACAGAGACAGAGGTGTCAGCAGCAGCTAAAGCAGTAAGACAGAAGAAAACTGGGAGACGATAAGGAAGGTTTTGGGTTTGGCTTGCTGCCATTTAATGTTAGCTCTGTCGGTGCCTTTAGTTGTTTTTTCACAGAGCCGACATGCTTGTCAGTCAGTTTTCGTCAACCGCCCAATCACAGGCTGGACGGGGCGGGACATTAAAGAAAAGTTTGATGTGCTAGGGCAAACTTTAAGATGTTGACCAAAAGGATTATTGACAAGTTAGTACTAAGCATTAACAAATTAGAGACCACTGTAGAGCCTTTTTCCTGCACAAGAATTTAATGAATAAAAACAACCCCAGAAATGAAACAGCTGTAACTGGATATAATTTTCAACTAGTGGTAAAAAAGTATACTATTATATGAAACTATAATGAATGTAGTATTTAATATATTATTGTTATACTAGCAGTGTACTAATCAAACATTATACTCTTTTATTTAATACACGTGTACAGTTCCTCTTCCAGGTTGTGGAGAGACTCTGCATTAGACAGATGTACACTGAGCCAGTGCCAGTGACCCAATATTTGCTCCTTCTAGCTGCCTCCTCCGTGGAGCAACACGCTCCCCTTGTTCTGTTATACTAGTTGTTGTTAAATTTTGTTCAAGTTGAGAAATACACATTTCAAAATGTCAAGAGTACCATTTGTTCCATTATAATCTAATCGCAAGATTGTCCACAATAATCACAATATGACTTTCTTCAAATCGTGCAGCCCTAATTATGAGCCATTACAATAAAGGATGCTCTAATATCAAAGTTCAGATCGGTATTGGGGCCAATCAAGGTGTTTAACTGATCAGTATTGGCTATATCGAGTCCAATCCTTTTTGTTTTATGTCAGCTGTCACACAAATGTCTATACTGGTGGTGCCCTTGTCTATGGTGCATGGTCTTTCACCACAGGTGGGGCTTAGGCCCCTCTCGGAGGACTGACAAGCCACCAGTGGAGAGCAAGTGACACCCATACACCCTGCCACTGCAAGTGCAACAGAAGCCCTGCAAAAAACAAAACTTAGTTAAAGAAGTTATTCATTAATGTAATCTGCAAAAAAGATGTACAGATGACAAAAATGTGGCGTCTGTGTTAAGATGTGTTTAATGCAAGTAAATTTTATTTTATTTTTATATTTTTTTTTATGTAAATAGGCATGTTGGAGACTTGGGGAATGTGACTGCAGGAGCAGATAATGTCGCAAAGATAGACATCACGGACAAGGTGCTCAGCCTCACTGGCCCGTACTCGATCATTGGCAGAACCATGGTGGTAAGGAAAAGTCATTTTCCATTTCACTTCCAGTCAAAGTTTGTCTAGTAAGGAGGTTTTTTTGCCTAAAGTGAATGGAATTGAGCATTTGGGCTATAAATTGTTGATCACTCTTCTGACGCACTTTCTGTCCTGTTTTAGATCCACGAGAAGGCTGATGACCTGGGAAAAGGAGGCAATGAAGAGAGTCTAAAGACTGGCAATGCTGGTGGACGTCTGGCCTGCGGAGTCATTGGCATCACCCAGTAAACAATCTGCCAGAACATGGAGCACTAGAAACAACCCCACAGCACTTAAGACCAACCTAGCTACTTGATGTGACAGTTTGTCCTTTTTCAATACTCTGGCGTGACTAGTTAAGAGTAGATGAGCCATGCTTTGCCCTATCCGTTCTCATTACAGTTTTATGTATGGGTTTATATGTCTGCTGATAAATTTTGGTCCCAAAGAATTGTTGACGCACAAGCAAGATGCAGTTTGTTAATCAATAAATTGTCTGTGTGTGTGTGTGTGTGTGTGTGTGTGAGAAATGACTAGTTTCACTATCAGAATTTGAACCCTAAGGATGGCTCCACCAAATTAAGTCTGTCAATAAATCATATGGTCTAGGCCAAATAAGGTGTCATACTGTTCTAGGTGTGCAAGGCCAAATTAGGTGTGTCAGTTATCATGAGTTCTAGGTGTGTTATGTCCAGGACCCTGCTTATTGACTGCTGAAATTAGTGGAGCCATTGTTGGTGTTGATAGTTACATCTGTAAAGTACCTACTTAATGGAAAAACTTTATAATATTGCTCAGTAATGCAAGTGACTGCACTAGCCTACTTTTTAAGAGGAGAAAAAAAAAACCCCACTGCATCTAAATAGGCTGTTTAGAGACCAACGGAGGAACGATGTTTGAAAGGGAGACATGCAGAATGTTCTTTATAACTTTGAAATTTGTGCTTGGACTTAAATACACGTACTGCAGTAAACGACTGTAGAAAAGATAAGTAGACCTCCCAAGTTATTGGGGATACACATTTAGAAACGATGAGATTTGAAACGGGCCGTGATATGCACCACCGTCGTCATTCAATTCCATCTGGCTTGTAGCCTACAGACTAGGCAATGATTTTAGCGTCTACCTAACGTCTATGTGCTGATGTGTCACGGCCTCAGACCTCATCAAAGCCCATGAGTCCCGATGAAACAGAGTGGCTTATAGCCTCAAGGATTAGATCATTGTAAAATATTTTAAATTTTCCTTAATAACAGACTACTAGAAACACTATAGTCATCTTTTGATACAATAGTCATGTGCACAAATTAAAAATACAGCTGATATATTTTCACTAGTAAAGACGAGACTATAATAGTACATTTAATGCAAAAAGTCCGTGTTTTTGTCTATGGTTTTGCCCCCGGTCTCCCAGTCCCAAACGATTCAGGCAATAAACTGCACTGTTCGTTTTGCCCCGTTTGTTATTGTTATATGTTTAAAAAAAAACATTCAGTTTCAATTCATTTCTTAATTGTGCACATCTTCTAATTTTAGCTTATATTGTGCTAAGATGGTACATTTCCCTTAATCTGTATTTCATCAAATGACCTCAAACGAGGTAACACGGGCTACACAGAAGCACTCAGGGAGTAGTAACCTGTAATACTGGTTGGTTCAGTTGTCTGTGAAGATTCTCAGTTATCCAGGTCATAGTTATCCAACCAAGGTTAAAGTCAAGTGCAAGTGGACTTGGTTGAAGATACTGGAAGACATTTCGTCCCTCATCCAAAGGACTTCTTCAGTTCTGACTGACTGGTAGGTCAGTTGGTTCAGGGTCTCTTGGAAAATCTAATGAAGTTGCCATCTATAGTGAGCTGCGTGTACTGCACCTGACGGGGTAATAGTGATCCAACAGCATTTATTAATTCCCCCCGGTCCTCCAGATGGGTTAAAGTTAAAGAGGTGTTATGCAGAATTTTGCATGTATTGCCGAGAATTGCATGCACCTCCAAATACTGCTTTCAAACGCTATGATAGCCTATTGTTTATGCGATTCATCAATGGTGTAAATGAAGTATATGTATATTTTATGAAAGTTTAGATATGTGGTGAGTTCCGCGTTTGATCGATATGCACAGCAAAGTAACGTTATCTGGAAAGGGACCTTAAGAGGTAGATGCATAAGTCTGCAAAAGATATGATGTAGGCTACCTGCCGAGATTTGCTACTTTTTACTCAGGTGAGTTCGAATCAGGCTTTACGCGATTTTGTAAAAGTCTGTTTTCTTTCATTTATTTTTCCGTATGTGGCTCTAATGTAGTGCTCACTTATACAATCACGATCGCCGCAGTAGATTAAATATGCGACTTGAAACTCGCCAGGAACATGTTTGTGAATGTGTGACGAATCTGGGGATGGAGTCAGTCCGCAGCTGCTGCACACAACACGCGCACGCGTATGGCAGTAGGGCTACAACACCGGTCATGGTTAGAGCAACCCACCTGTCAATATATGGTAACGTAAAAGGACCTGTGTCAGAAAATCTGACGGGTCTCAGATTTCGTTTGAACACCGGTCCTGGACATGTTAGCTAGAGGCGTGGCTAGCATCCGCCAAAACAGGATTACTGTATTTCAGTAGGATTTCAGCGAGAATTTGCATGTTATACCTTCTTGACTGCTATATTGTCACCGGTATATCCGCGTACTGCAGTCCTGTGTCAAGTCACCAGATCTAACGTCGTTGCTGGTCAGTAAATGACTCGAGTGTGTATGCTGGCTGGGCGCTTTTTAAAGTATGTTGTAACGTTAGTAAACTTGTGTTTCTACAAATCTTACATTATGTCACGTAAAGAAATCTGTGTGTGACACGTGTAATCCGAAAATAATGCTACAAATTACTTGTTGTGTGGAGTGTTTAAATTAGGCTACATATGTGTGATTAATTTAAGTTACTTGGCTAACAAGGAATTTCACAAATGTTAATACATTAGTCGGCAGAGGAACAAAGCTGATGTTTTGATTAAATTAATGAAGGGGAAAAGACAAGTGGTTTGGACAAACAATTTAAGACTTATGTGTCAAGCAATATAAATGTTTCTGTTGCACTTCCCTAATGTCTACTATTTTACAACTGACCCCTGACGCTATTATCGAACATGACAGATAATAATAATAATAATAATCTTTATTTGTAGAGCACTTTTCAAAAACAAGGTACAAAGTGCTTTAACAAGTGTAAAGACAATAATACCCAAAAAAAAACAATAATACAAAAACAATACAAAGATAAAGAAAAGAAAAGACTAAAATACATGTTTAAGATAAATATAAAATAAGATCGGGAAAGGCTCTCCTATAAAAGTATGTTTTAAGAAGGGACTTAAAAGAGTTCACTGACTCAGCCGACCTGATTGCCTCGGGGCCCTGACAGCAAACGCTCTGTCCCCTTTAGTTTTCAGTCGAGACTCTGGAACAGACAACAGACCTCTGCCCGAGGATCTCAAGGTACGTGCTGGTGTGTATGGGACTAAAAGTTCAGAAATATAACAAGGCAAGAGGCCATGAAGAGCTTTAAAAATGATCAATAGAATTTTAAAATCAATTCTAAAACATACTGGGAGCCAGTGTAATGAAGCTAAAATAGGAGTAATGTGGTCATATTTCTTTGTTCTGGTTAAAAGCCTGGCAGCTGAGTTCTGGACAGTCTGGAGTCGATCAATAGATTTTTGGGTTAAACAGGTGAAAAGGCTGTTGCAATAATCCAGGCGTGATGAGATGAAGGCGTGTAAAATGGTCTCGGTGTCCTTAAAAGTTAACATAGATCGAATTTTAGCTATATTTCAAAGTTGATAAAAACATGATTGAACAAGCTTTGTGGTGTGCTGCTCGAAATTTAAATTACTATCAAACCAAACACCAAGGTTCTTTGCCACAGGCTTAATGTGATTTACTAGGGAACCAGCAGATGGCAGTATTTGTTTTGCCATCTGCTGGGACCCGATGTCCAGGATTTCTGTTTTGTCTGAGTTCAGCTGGAGGAAATTATTTGACATCCATTTTTTAACTTCACAAAGGCAGTTGTTAAGTGAACTCAGCATTCCAGGGTCTGTGGATCTGACGGGCAAGTATATTTGTGTGTCATCAGCATAAATATGAAAAGACATGTTAATGGATAATATGTCCAAGGGGAAGCAGATACAAAGAAAACAAAATGGGTCCTAAGATCGACCCCTGAGGCACACCATATTTAACTGGACAGAACGAAGAGACATAGTTGTTTACAAACACGCAAAACTTCCTATTTGACAGGTAGGATGAAAACAATTCTAGGGCCGTACCAGAGATCCCCACCCAGTGCCTCAGTCTGTCTATCATGATGTTGTGATCAGTGGTGTCAAAAGCAGCGCTAAGGTCCAGGAGTACAAGGACTGAGCACATACCTTCATCGGCAGACATTAAAAGGTCATTGGTGACTTTAAGCAGGGCAGTCTCAGTGCTGTGGTACTTCCTAAAACCAGACTGAAACTTTTCAAATATTTTGTTATTTTCCAGTACAGTGAGCAGCTGTTTGGACACAATTCTTTCTAGAATCTTTGCAATAAAAGGCAGTTTTGAAATTGGTCTAAAATTTTGTGGGAGGGAGGGATCTAAACAAGGTTTCTTTAAAAGTGGGTTCACGCAAGCCGTTTTAAAATAATCAGGGACACAACCAGTAGATGGGGAGCTGTTGAAAACAGAGATCAAATGGGGCCCAACAGAATCTATTACTTTCAGTAAAAACTTTGTAGGTATTACATCAAGTGGGCTGGAGGACACTCTCATTTGTGATACTGTTTTAAAAGCTCAGACAAGTCGATGGGATAAAACTGGTTAAAACTCTCATGTTGCTGGTGAGGAACCTCTGAGTAAGAGGCTGTAGGGGTAATAGAGGCTCTGATTGACACCACCTTATTGGTAAAATAAGATAAAAACAATTCATAGTCATCATTACTTCCAGCTGAGGCACAAGGAGGGGTTGGGTTTACCAGCTGATCCACAGTCAACAGAAACCTGGGATTGTGTTTATGTGAAGTAATGAGTTCAGAAAAATAGTGTGTTCTCGCATCCTTAACCAAGTTATTGTAGTTAATTAATAAATCCTTCAGACTGAGGTAATGGACTTGGAGATTGGATTTTTTCCATCTGCGCTCTGCTTTCCTGCATTCCCTTTTTAGGCTGCGAATGCTGTCATTTATCCAGGGTTGCTTACTAGCTTTAGACGTAGGCCTAACCTTTAGAGGAGCAGTAATATTTAGTGACAACAAGCAGATATGATTGAAGTGATCGACCAGATTGTTGGTGTTGGAATCAGACAGGTGTTGATTTTGACTCTGAAAGAATGCGCAAAACTTTGAAACACTTCGTTCATTAAAGATGCGAGAACACACAGAGCTTGGTGAGGCGGCATGAGTAACAGGCGAATCGCAGCTAAAAACAATACATCTGTGGTCAGATATGGTCATGTCCACTAATTCCACAGAGGAAATCC